TCAAAGCATAAAATGGATAAAAAGATGTTTACTCAATATTGCATGCATGGTTTGGGTGCTTCCCTTGTTGAAGGCCACAATAATAGGTATTCATTGTTTTCCATAAATAAGAGTACTATGGAATGAAAGAAGAAATTGTATATCTCCAATTTAGTTCATTAAACAACAAACATAGAAGCTGTCCTGTGTGTTATGTTTGTCAGTATTCTGTCTACATTTAAAATATATTTAAAAATAAGAAGATGTGGTATGATTGCAAATGAAACAACTCTCCACTTGAGACCAAAAAGACATAGAGGTTAACAATTATAGGTCGCCTTAAGGCCATCAACAATAAGCAAAACCCATACTGCATAGTAAGCTATAAAAGGCCAAGGACTGACAAATGTAAAACTATTCAAACTAGAAAAGTAGCGGCCTGATTTATGTACAGAACAATAAATGAAATTCAAAGATGATATACAGCAGCAAACGACAACCACTGAATAACAGGCTCCTGACTTGGGACAGGCATCGACTACATTTTAATCTGAACCATTAACCTTTAAACAAAAAATAACCAAGTGTGACATAAGTCTGGAAATCTTCAGGGAAACATAATTCAAAATGCCATAATGCACCTATTTTATTTTTTGATGGAATTGATGTTTGAGGTTTCCCATTTCAGACTTGGAGGAGAAGTGGGGGAATCAATTTTTTTATCAATATAATCATCTAGTAGACTTAGTACATCTTGTTCATTAATGTGCCCTGTTAGCATTAGATATAATAAGGATCATATTTCCCAGTGGGTCATAATCTATACAAGTTTGATACTTTTCCTTCTAAATATTAGGTAATCAAAAATATCTAGAATGTTCCCTATAATCTAAGTTTGACTATTTTAACAATAGTGACATTGACAACTAAACTATACAATCATTGAGTGTCTGGATGGGTTTTACAGAACAGAGAATAATGGATAAAAAGTGCAGAATAAAGGCCAACAATTATAAAGAATAGAGAAACATCGACATAAAAAATAGAGAATAATGGAGTGCTAAACTATAAAAAATAGAGAATAATGGGCACGAAATATAAAGAATAGAGAAAAATGATATAAAAAATTAAAGAATACAGAATTGAAGGACCCCCCAACACTTTCTGAAATAATATTAATTTCAATTTATGAATGCCATGACCTTGACCTTTGACCTTACGATTTGACCATATGACCTAAAATTCAATGTGGGCCTGCATATCACGTATTTGTTAACCAAAATTAGATTTTCATTTCATAAAGTTTTGGCTAAAAACGGGAGAAAAAGTGGATTTTTTATCGAAAATAACCTTTTTTGTTGCCATGGTTTCACACTTTTAGTGATTTATCTCTCTTAAAAGGTCCCTTATTTTTTGGCATTTTTTTAAATCGATATGTTAAGAGGTTTCAATCAACAAATTATAAGAAAAAACTATAATTTCAATTTTATACCCTCGAGCCTCATTAAACGAATTTTTTAAATGTAGACATTTTGTAAAAGTCCTGAATTTTGAGGTATTTTATAAAATCCGCAACCTTGAAAGGCATTGTATAAAATAATTTGTATTACCTAAATAGTCTGCTCGGTTTCAGTTAATTTGAAGAATAGGATATATTCAACTAAAAACACAATATCTTGTAGAAAATCGAATGGTTCATTAATATTAAGTTTATTCCTCAATAATCAGCGAGAAAGTTTGTATGTCTATTATTAGTACTTCACACTAAAGCTACGTGAAAAATATACGCAGTCTGTATGTCAAAGGGTCAATTTATAGTGTCTGCTTTTCATGATGGCAGACGGGCATTACAGAATTGTGTAATATGGACCACAGCAAAAAATGAAAATATTTTGAATGACAGATTGTTGTTTGTTAAACATCCAGCATCACATAGTTCATGCATATCCAGGACAACAACAAATGCATAATTTTTTAAATGTGTCAGTTCTTCAATGGATTCATCTGGACGAAGGACATAAATTTCGACTTGAAACTATAGAATGTTGGTTGGGGACAGCAATGATGCCAATTACAGACCCATCGAAGACTTTCAACGTACAGAAAGCGCGTAACCTTCTCTATAAGAGTGATCAAATGTAATGCGACTATTCAGAAACTATACGAGTTAAACACTCTGCTGAACCAAGATATTTTCCCTATCTAGCAAAAAATTGCTGACGGTTGGGTATAGTCCGTATTTCTATACTCAATTCATACCTTGGGATTGAATATATTTTATGCTAAATTTCATATGTATAAATATATAACAGATAAGCATACAAGGTTGTGTTTGGCTGTGAATTGAGATATGACTATCCTCATCTTCACTGCCTTAGGGGATTTTGTTGGTCCTATTAATCTGACCAATATCTGCTTAAGACTTGAATGCACTGAAAAGTCAAAAGATGTACTGAAAAGTCAAAAGATGTAAGTCAACCTAATTATGTTAAGGGCATACGATACAGTTTTGATCCCATATTGAAATTTTGATAAAAATTTGCATGTAGGCTACTTTTTACCTGATTAAATCAAATATGTAATAAAAAATATCCCTTCATGTGCTACTTTTTGAGTAAATTGAGGTTCAAATTTCAGATATTTTCTAAAAATACGGATTTATGGACTTATTTTTCCTTTCGATAGAAATACATAACTTTTTTGTTTTAAAAGATAAACACGAGCTGTTTTTTGTTAAATAATTTGTAATTAATGTGTTATATAAATATTGTATAAATTTGTACATTTTATTTTTACAAATAACTCAAATTTCTCAAATGTTCATGAATGTAGAAAAAAACCGTCAATTTTTGCTGTATATTAATCAAATTTAAAAAAATTGCACTATTTACGTTTTCATGAAAATTGGTACACATAATCTTCTTACGTAATCAAACCAAATGTCATTTTAAAAAAGAGGGGTCCATGAACTCGTTTTCAAGTTAAATCAGTTTGAATGATAAAAATCAGCCGAAAACTGCATATTTTCCCGATAAGTCAACGTTTGACGTCGCGAAAATAACAATTTACGTTAGCAACGTCATTACCTCCCCTGTAACTGTATCGTATGCCCTTAACGTTACTTTGAATCTTTTGGGAACGCAGGAAATAGAATAAGATATTAATATGCGTACCGTTTGTGAAACCCTAGTTTTTCTCAAGTTGATTGTTTTATTGGAAAAAAAAGTATTGCCAGAAATAAACGGGTTAAGAGTTTGAATGTCACTTTGGTATCTTTCGCCTCTCTGTTACAGTCCCTACTTTCCAAAACTATAAAATAATTGCCGATTGCGGTTTTTTCAATTGTAAATAATTCAGTAAACTGTAAAGAAAAGAAAATTATTTACAACATCACACCCGAAATCAATAACTCAAAACCATCATGTATTATTTGTGAATTTGACAGTTAATATTTATCTTCTTGATCTTGGTTCCTTTACAAAAAAAAATTTTGGAAAAGTACTAGACGGTTTTTGACAGAACTCTCACTCATTGAAAAAATACGTAAAAAGTACAAAATTATCTAAAACAATTCTTTCAGCACGATTGGAAACAATAGCAGAACAAATGATGCACTAGTTTTTTTAATTTTATTTTAAATTAACAATTACCATATATATGTAAACAAATGAGTTTTATTCTGAATAATTTTAATTTTTATTTTAAATTAACGATTACCATATATATGTTAACAAATGGGTTTTATTCTGAATAATTATAAAGTAAGGCAATAATAATTTACCGAGGTTCAAATCTCATTTATTGATTAGAGTGACCAATCAAGATAACAAACACAAGTAGAGGGAATCACATTAACTCTAGATAAAAACGAGACCGGATGTGTTTACAGGGTAAGCATCTCGTGCTATGCATACATCATCCATCATGCGAAACAACTATCAGTCCAAATGTCACAATCGGGATTAGGACATACTTTTATTTTGGCATTGCACAAGTCATGTCTTCTTTGACTGTCCATGGCGTTAAAACACTAAATCCCTGGAATGTTTTTTTTTAATTGATTTTAGTCTCTGATGCATGATTTCTTATTATTAATTGTTTTTGGCTTTTAACTTGCTTTGAGTAACTGCGAGTTGTTGAGCCTGTTGACACAATTTGTAATGCATTTCTGTAATTCAATGTTTACTTATTTTGTGTTATACGTCGTTTCACTATTTTTAATATGTACCACCTTTGATAAGTATTTAGTATGACGATAAATTTTCACGTCTGTACTCGTACTGTGAACAACAAATTTATTAATTTAAAAAAAAATGTATTCCGTACTACTAACAACAAAATTATTATTTTTAAATTTTCCTGTGTACGTTATTATATTCAACGCCAATTTGTTCCAGGTCAGAGTTGTCTTTTTGACACGGTTCCTACACTTTTTTTTATTAATATTGCATTTATATTGTTCCATAGATCAAACTTATTCGTTAAGTGTATGTTTACTTGTTTTTTCTTAAATGTCTTTTTGATCGAGTTAAGCCATTTCAATTAATATCTTATAGTGTGTCTTTTTATGTTGTAATGTTACACTACTATATTGGGTTAGGTTGAAGGTTGGCGCCTGTTAAAACGTTAAAACCGGCTGCATTTTTATGCACCTGTCCTAAGTCAGGAGCCTGTTGTTCAGTGGTTGTCGTTTGTTGTTGTGGTTCATAAGTGTTTCTCGTTTTTCGTTTTTTATATAGATTAGACCAATGGTTTTCCTGTTTGAATTGTTTCACATTAGTCATTTAGGCGCCCTTTATAGCTTGCTGTTCTGTGTGAGCCAAGGATCCGTGTTGAAGGCCGTATTTTGATCTATAATTGTTAACTTTTTATACATTGTTACTTGTATGGAGAGTTGTCTCATTGGCACTCATACCACATCTTCTTATTAATAAACAATCGGGAATATGTCATTAGTATAACATAACTATCCTATATATATAGATGTTATTAAAAAAGGGATTTTCAACCTGTGTACTCACATTTTTTTTATTTTCCAAATTTTTACCACCATACTCACAGTTGTTATCATATGGCACTTATTGTAATGGAAGGTATGGTGTCATAATTTATTTACGTTGCTGTAAAATAGAACTCATAAGGATAAACAACACATATGTACTAATACTTGATATTATGTGAAATCAATTAGCTTATTTCATTTAGAATCAATCATTTGATAACCATTTTTTTATAATATAATCAACAAAAATGTCAAATGACGTTCACTATTTAATCCGAGCAACAACATATGGGTGCAATAATGAAACAGAATAATTCATTATTGATTCAGAATCATTCTTCGTTTAATTAATCGTTTTGGTTTTTATTAAACATCAAAGCCGCATCCATTTTGTTTAACTGTTTATTCGATTGTCTGTATAAAAGTTTAATGAACCATCACACTTTTGTACAACTAAATGAAATACAAAAGAAACAAAAGTAACAATAATATGCATAGTTATTCCGATGTAATAGTAAGGTGAAAACGTTTATTGACATTTTAAAGCGTACAGTCGTTACTTATACAAAACCCAATAGTAACTTACCCTTACCATCTAAGAGGCAGTATTCTGTATTCATTTTGTAGACAGAGAAAATGCATATTATTCTTACAATGGAAACATCACAGGAAATAAAAAATGAACAACTGTTACTAAATCACTCATCGATGTCTAATCATAAAATATCACATGCATGCTACGTTGAGTTTTATTAAATTGGGTACTTTTTAAACCATTGTGTCAACAGTTATTGTTTGGATCACATAACGTTCATATCATACATATTTAACAATGGGATATTTTTAAGCATAGCTATCCCCTGAAGTAATTTCAAATTAAGCACAATTAACTGCCATAATCCGAAAACCGGTGTAACATTGACATTCATTGAAGTGATGAAGACCATTTTAATTGACTTTTATGTGCCGTGTTTCTTTCAAACAAAGATATTAACGCACGATGACCTTCCCCCAGCTGATTTAAGATTTAATGTGTGCTAGAAGCATCTCCGCACTATTAATCAAACCTGTTATGTGAACAGACCCAGAACGACTGATGAAGTAATTCAAATTAAGATAAAATAATAATAATAATCCAATGTAAAAAAATCAAAATAAATCAAAAATGAAAAATAATTAATATATTTACATAACAAATTAAAAACACAATAAATACAAATATAAAAAAATTATAAAAATTGGCGTTACGGGCAACATGCTTATGATTGATATGTATTTAAAAAATAAATTAAATACATATCTCAATAAAGAAATTAATTCACATTATTCGAGCATCTATCGCTGCAACTGCAATAGACGATAGAGTGTAGATGTATTACTGTGACTTCAAATAACTTAGACCATAAGGAGAAAGTTATGAGCCGCTTGAGTATACATCTAACAGAAACATAACTCGTAGCGTATTAAATGAAACCTCAAACAATGTGAACTTAATAGCAAAGAGAGCCTTTAATAGAGAGTATTGACAAGAGCTCGAAGCATAATTCGAAGAACACATGTTACTTCGAAATATTATACCTCTCTACGCGTGACATGTTGAGCGCTAGCCCATCCCATGTCAAACATAGGTAACTCAAGTATTTAATACCTACTCTAAAATTATATACCTGCATGTTGAGCGCTGGCCCAGCCCATGCTTATGGGCTCACTTTGCAACCTGAGACGGATAACCTCGAGTGAAAAAAACATTTGCACACTAAAACATGTATCCTAAAGAACTGTCAAATGGACAAACAAATGATTCGTTCACCCGACGAGAGCGCTGCCTAGTTACCCGTTTTATTCAGGGCTGCCTGAGAACTCGGGTAATAATTTTGTGACAAGTAAAGAATGGGTAACATCCATTATTACATTGCCCGAACGAAATGTGTTACACATGCTGCCCTTGTAACGCATTGAGTATCCCCAAAATTATTCCGAGATAGTGATTGTGCCATATTGGTTATGTGTACTGTAACAAACCTTCGTTCTAAAAATAATTAGAGCTTAGTGATAAAAATAAAATAAAAATAGAAATTGATTATATAAGAAAATACTTAACATAGTAATTAATTATAAAAAGCCGTCTACTAACTTAGTAAAGAAATAATGAAAAATAACAGATATATCTGCAACTTATGGTCACTTATGAATAATGATTTTTATTTTTTTTTTTTTTTTACATTTTCAACAGATCTTGATGCCTGTTAACTTCCAATTTTTAATATAACGGGTGTATCCGTCAGATGCCCGACGCATCCCAGTTTGAATTATGTGATTTGGATACCATTAGTTGTATCTTTGAATTAAATATAAATAGTGCTCGTTGTAAAGCTTAATGCTACAGTAACCAATGGGTTACATATTTATATATATTTATACAACTGATCTTATAGACAAATATGATTTATAATAAGTTGATTAATAATAACTCTGTGACAAAAACAAAATGACAGTTTTTAAGATGCCTGTTAACGTAAATTAATTTGACAGTCAGATAAAACAATGTAAAAAACATTATATTGACAGTTAATTACGTTAGTTTTGTCTGTACATTCGGAATAACGCAGGTGTATCCGAAAAAAATACCATTATAACTGCAGTTTAATGTTATATAAGTGCGGATCGAAAATATCTCTCTGTAAAAGTTAATTCCTCTATCGTAGCACACTTAAGTTGGTTAACGCATGTCATACTATTTTGCTAGATGAATAAAGATCTCCCTAGGATATAATACATGTCATACTGTGTTGATAAGGTAATAGAAAACAACGAACAACTGTTTATGCTAATTTCGTGAAGCAACAACCTTTCAACATTGTTATTTTAAGTAGATAAACTATGATGTATAAATGTATTATCAGGGAATATGTCGATTTCAAGCGATCTGTTTCTCTTATAGTATCTTTGTGTCTAAACCTTGTTCAATGGTTGGTGGTAGTTCTTTGCATTCAATAAACTCATCATTAGTATCGCAGATCCGGTAGGTTGTGTGAGCACCCAACGTTTTTCTACGTATTCGAAATATGAAAATAAATAAAATAATGCTCAAAACCATTTTAAATTACATATATCAATAAATCTGTAAAACATGATCATCGTTATCAATCTAAATATATTGTATGACTGAGACGATTATTATCAATTTGCGTTGTGATACCATACTATCCATAACACCTTCTTTTCTATATTTTTTTACTTATTGTTTTAATTGCAGACAACATAGAGAGACGACATAGATGATTTTCATAAGCTAGAAATATCCTCATTTATTCAACGGATTTATTCGTCTTAGATCTGTACTCCTTAACCTTTCCTCATCTGTAATGCATATTTAATTGTCCAAGACAAAATTAAATTGATAAGGTCAATTGCATGTGTTGAGAAATGATTCTAGGTATATTATTTAATGAACTGAGGTAGACTACGGAAATGGTTATGCTGCAGCTGTGTTTATCTTTTATCACTCCTCATTGCAGAAGTGTCATTATTTACTAATGTCTGTGTATTATAACGGTCTCTATAGTTGTGATGTTTTGAGGAGAATAATTTTGTGTGTGGGAAAGTCCGCAGGCGACGGAATATTTACATGAAGAGGAAAGTATAAAAAAAAATAATTGTGAAATGTCATGCGTGTATCAGAGTTTTTTTAATATTGCTAGAGGGGTTAAACAAGGCACACTGAGCCCCACTTTATTTAATGTCTTCATAAATGATATTGTAAACAATTTTGAGGGAAATGATTCAAGTCCCCTTAAGCTTATAAATAGTAAGGTGGGATGCCTCCTTTTTGGGGATAATCTTTTGATCCTGTCAGAATCGAAAGAGGTCTTCAAAACTGTTTGAATAATGTTAAATTAAAATCCATGATTTTCAGTCCGTCCGAACAAAATGGTGAAACATCACATATTTACTATGAGAATGAAGCCATAGAGAGCGAATCAGAATATTCATTTTTGGGAATGTTGATAAAATGTAATGGAAATTTATCACAAAGTACTTTACAGCTGACAAAAAAGGCAAAAAAAGTATTTTTTGCAATAAAATCCTATACTAAATCATTGAATAATCTACCTATAAAAGTAGCAAATAATCTTTTTGATTCTTTAGTGAAACCAATTATGACCTATAATTCAGAAGTAACATATTTGGATACATATATTTTTTTTCATAGAGCCAAAAACAGAGCCTTATCTTCAGGAAAACAAATTAATCAACTTGATTTTGACTGGAACTTATTAATGGTATACATATGCATAAAATATTGTTGAAGAGACTAATATTGACCTTAATATTCTTTCTAATTGTAAGGACATAAAAGATGTAAATAAAATAAAAAACGATATATAAAGTTAAAAATGAAAAATAGATATGAAAATTTAATTGAAACTAAATTTGAAAACATTGATGATAAAAGTAAATTTTATCTATATAAAAAACTTAAAAAAGATTGCAAACTAGAATCTTATCTAAATATTATATCTAATTTTCAGATAAGGAGATTGATCACTAAATTTAGACTAAGTGATCGCTCCCTCTTAATTGAAAAGGGGAGATATTTTAAAATCCCAAGAGAGGAAGGACTTTGTCATAAATGTAAAATACTAGAGGATGAAAAACATTTTTTACTCTATTGTGATTATAATAAAACACTAAGAAATGCCTTTTTTGAACACATATGTATTGAAAATAATAACATTAATAATTTAAATGAAGAAGAAAACATTCATTATTTACTAAATCCATCAACGCCTTTACAAACAAATAAGTTAGGGTCCTTCTTGAAAAAGTCATTAGAACTGAGGGCAGGGGAATCTTAACAGCTTGTTTGTTTTTATAAATTTCGATGCTGTTTTCATTGTGTTTGTTTGATATGTATGTATATATGTTTATTATATGTTTATTGTGTTAATACATGTTGGTCACAAACTGTAAAGTTTATACGACAATAAAATATTTGATTTGATTTGAAAAATAATTAAAATGTTTATGTGAAATTGAGTTAATATTAACTAGTAGCTAAGATCCGAACATATGCTGCATGTAGAGTGTTATTCCGGCTAAGCCATAGTATGATAAGAACTTAATAAACGTTAAGGGTAAATGCTTACAAATAGTGTGATTTTGTCATCAGCAAATTAAAACATAACTAAATATTGTATTCTTTTCAAACGGGACGTATAAAGACACCACGTTCATTTTGATCTATAAAGAGGATAAACTCCTAACTACCCTACTGCCTGTCGATACATTTATTTTTGGCATTGCACTAGTCATGTCTTCTTTGACTGTCCATGACGTTAAAATACTAAATCCCTGTGATGTGTTTTAGTTGATTTTAGTCTCTGATGCATGATTTTTTATTATTAATTGTTTTTGGGTTTTAACTAGCTGTCAGTAACTGCGAGTACTCTCAAATCGTACTTTCTTGTTTATTTGACCTGTTGATACTAATTGTAATGCTTTTTTGTTATTTAATGTTATTCAGGGTTATATCTGGTTTATATACCAGCTTTGATAAGTGTTTGGTATTACTATAAATTTTCACCTCGTACTATGAACATCAAAATTATTTATTTTGTAAAAATATTTCCTTTCTCTATTTGAACTGTACACGTATACCTAACAACAAAATTATTTTCATTTACCTGTGTTTAAAGTTATTGCAAATGGCCATCAATTGCCATC